TTGTTCTTATTACATCATATGAGCAAATGCCTTTGTTAAAGAAAAAAAATGACATGGGCTAAATCCTATTTTAAGGAAATTTCCATATAGTGAAAACTCTTTCAAAACCGCAACCAACGGCCCATTTATTTCAAAGAATAGTCAATCCAACATTCAAGAAGGACCAAACAATTAGAAATGAATAGTCTCATTATAACAATTCAACTTGTAGCTAATTTCTCCGGTACTCTAGAAGTCTCTTTTTACTTCTGAATCTGATTCCACAAATTATCTGTACTCAGAGTTTGCACTGATTTATCAGGGTATCTCCTATGAGGTATGAAAGCAAAAGACCTGCTATAATACCTTTCATAGCAGCATTCTAACATGAATAAATCATAATTTTATTTGCACCTCTATCCAACATCATCGCCCAGAGGTCCCAGATTCTAACACTCGCTAAGAACCTTCTGATCTAACTTGGGAACAAATTCTTATTGATAATATTTCTATTCAATAACATATATTATTAAAGTATTTAACTTACACTAACCTTTTCAGGTAAGACTTCACCTAAGAAATCTTTCTTTGGCATACTTTCATGCATTTCAGTACTGACCTGTCCTAATTCCCATATTGGGGGCAGCTAGGTGGCACAATGTGTAGAGTGCCAGGCCTGGAGTCAGGAAGACCTGAGTTCAAATCTGAACTGTGACACTTCCTAGCTGTGTGATCCTGGGCAAGTCACTTAACCCTGTTTGCCTCAGTTTCCTTATCTGTAAAATGAGATGGAAACGGAAATGGCAAACCACTCCAATATCTTTGCCAAGAAAACTGCAAAAAGGGTCACAAAGAGTTAGACATGACTGAAAAACAATTAAACCACAACAATTCCCACCCTGGGTAAACTTTAGAAATCAAGATTTTTCTTAGAGTATCCTTTAAACCCATAGAATTAGCCCCACTGGAATTAGGACGAGCCCTTGGTAGTTTTATTTCTACAAATTTAAGTAAGATAATATTCTAGTAACTATTGTCCCAGCCTCTGGTCTCTCATCTCTTCTGTCCAGCTTTTACATAGCTGCCAAAATGATCTTCTTTATGCACAAACCTTACTATATCACTCTTCTGCTCAAAAAGGCAAACTCCTTGGCTTGGCGTTTAAGGCTTTCCACAGTCTGGCTCAATGTACCTTTCCAGCCTCATTTCACATCACTTCCCTTCAAGAACTCTATAGGTTACTACAGATTTCTGTAAACTCAATATTCTCATGTTTAACATAATCCCATTCACATAGCAAGCACTTAAGAAATGTTTATTGATTGATTAATTTTCCATTTCTGTTTATCTATATGCATAGGCTTCCCCCATCCATATATTGCACTTTCTCCCCTTCTGTGCCTGTTGAAATCTTAATCTTCCTTCAAGGCTTACTTCAGGTTCTGTTTTCTCAGTGATACTTTCCCTGGTTCTGTCAGCTGAAATTTTTTTCCTCAAATTATCCTTGACCATTTTTTCCTGAATATCTACTTTATCTTTGTCATATCCTATTTTGCATAATAATCATCTGTATATACGATATTTCTCTGTGAGTAGAAGAAAAGTTCTCGGAGGGCAGGGACTGTGACATTTTTCATTTTGGTAATCCAAGTTCAGTACCAGTTCAAAGACCTATACTCTAAAAGGGAGGCAAGAGAGTCAACCAAATAGGCCACAGAAATGTGTACATAGGAATTACATCATTATAAAGTGCATTGTGAGAGGCAGAATTACTGAGTGAATTCAGAGGAGTTTTTTTTAAACTATCTACAATTTTGACTTCTAGATTCTTATTAATTGTTTTTAAATGTTATTTTAAAACATATATGCAGCATTTTCAAAGGTAATGAGTATTGGTTTCCCAAATGACTAAGTTCTTTAGAGCTGTATCAGCATTCCAATAAATCTCTAATTTCCTTGTAATATTGACACGACATGTAAACAGCCTGCTCCTTTTTTACTTCTCCTCTCTTTTTTAAATATACACTCATAAAAAGTGAATACTAAACTAGAAAGTTTGTTTAAAAAGTCTAAGATATTGTTTTTGAAGACTGATGAGTAATGAAAGATTTTTTCAAACAATGCAACAAAATGAAATACATGCATAGTAGCTTCTTTTCTATCTTCTTACCACCTAGGAAAAACAGGTAACAGCTACAAATTACATTAGTATAATTTCTACTAGCAAAGAATGCACACACTTCAGAATCTTTCTTTGACTAGCTAGAAAAAGATAAATTGATCTTTAAAGATCACAGTGTTAGGTTAAATGGATCTTTCTTTAACCTTAAAATGAAGACAGTGACCATAAATCTCTCTAGATTTGTAGCTTTGACACTATCCCCAAAACAACAAACCAAAGAAAAACAATGTCCAACAGGCAGAGGGAACCATAGCAATTATATATACTAGGAGCCTGACAGCGATGGCTGTATTTTTGGTGATGATGAACATTTCTATTTGTTCAAATAAAATACAATAGCCAAATAACTTTAGATATTAATTCCTCCCTGCTATTCAGTGTCCATTTTCTGTCATTGCAATTAAAATGTAGTACATAAGGAGGTAAAAGACAGTACTTTCACCCATTTCATTCCCTGCCAGTGTCTATCTTCACCTGAAGAAAGTGTCACTATAGTAACAAAATAGCCAGATCCACAAGCCAAATCAACCTTTACTCTCATGTTGCCAAGCACAGAAACACAGAATCAGAGAACTGCAGGGGGCCCAAAGAGGTCATAAATTCCATCCCCTGCCTCTGATTAGGCTTGACCTAAACCCAACAGAAGTAGAAATATTGTGTTCCTAGAGATTATTGAAGAAGGCTATTTGACAGCCTCATTCAGTAAACCCTTCTAGTATTTGTCAATCTTTACTGCTTTGATTTCTTTATATTTTACTTAATTCCCTGCAGCAACAGTTTTTGTGAGAATAGAAGGCTGACAAAATAATACTGTTAATCTTAAACCTATTATTAAATTCCCTACTAGTCTTCTTTAAATAATCCTAATCCCCCCAGTTTTATAATTCTTTATTCCAACCCTATGTTGCTCGCCTCTGGATTCTTCTAAAGCAGAGGTTCTTAACCTTTTTGGGGGTCATGGCTCCTTTGATAGTCTCATGAAACTTAGGGACACCTCAGAATGTTTTCAATGCATAAAATACATAGGATTACAAAGGAAACCAACTATACTAAAATAGTTATCAAAATCTTGTTTAAGACAAATTTCAAGGACCCAGGTTAAGGACCCTTACTAAAATTATCTAAATCACTAATCATGTTCTAAATTTTCAAATTGGACACCATACTCTAAAGAGGTCCTGACCAGTGCAGCTGGCTTGATTTTTGTGAAACTGAACACAGTCCACAATTTAATTGAATTAAGATCACCAGTTTCACTTGACATAAACTTCAAAGTAGATATAAAAAGGGAATGCCTCTCAGATACATTGGACCTAGAGTATATCTAAATTCAACCACCTACAAGCTATTTAGTGCTTCATTAAATATTTTACCATTTTTCCTGATTGATTAGGGTTTTTTTCCCAAACCTTTCCCAACTTTGACAGTTTTCTTTCCAGGGGGGTTGGGGGAAGGTTAGAGGTGTGATGGGGAACAAGAATAGCACCACCTATCACAAATCTAATCAATAAAACTGTTGCAGCAGCATAGCCACTATATCTTAAAATTCTAAACTTCCATTCTTTTATTCCTTCCAAAAGGAAGTTGCAAAGTATGTTGAAGAACACCGTTTTCACCCTGAGCGCTATTTAACAGATTATAAAAGTGAAATACAGAGTGATGCCCAAGATTTACAAAATTCTCATAGTATTAACTCTCTGGCAGAGACTAGTCTTCTTCTTCAGTGATGGTCCCATAAGACCTCCAAATAATATTTTAGTAGGTTTGGGGTGGTAGTACCCCATAATGCTTAGGTATCATAAATATATTTGCAAATATTATTTAAAATAGGAATCATTTTTTTAATTGGGTATATAATACTCAATAACAATTATGACACATTTATGGAGGGCTTTTAAAGATTATGGTGTGTTTTTTTCATAATAACCCTATAAAATAAGTAGTGCAAATATCATTAACACCATTTTCATATGAGGAAACTAAGGTTAAGCGACTTGCCAATGGTCACCCAGCAAGTGTGAGTCAGGATTCAAATACAGGTCTCAGTTTCAAGTCCAGTGGTCTTTCTACTATATTATTTATTTTTTAAAATGGATCATCATTAGCAAGTGCTGTTTACCTTTTAATTTTGTTTCATTTGCTTATTGGAGATATGTGTTTTTAATATTAGTATTTTTTTCTAATGCAAAAATGGAGAGCTTTTTTGTTCTACTGTCTTCTTACATATTCTCCCCCCCCCATTCAGTGCCATTAAGCCATTTTTATTTACCACTTGTCAAGACAAAAGAGGGAAAAAAATTCATTTGGGGGCCAACAGATAATACCTTTCCTGAAGTAAAATTAGTCTCCATTTAACATTTAGCAATCCTCTAAAGCTGAGATTGGTATTGAGTAGTCTACTTTCTCCCTAGGTTCCTCTGTAAGAGTTTTTGTTTGTTTGTTTGGGGGTTTTTTGTTTATGGTACATACAACAATCTCTTGTTTCTTAGAGGCAAACCAATACAATATAGAGCTGATAAAGCATTTTTCTGAGAATTATCCTGGAAAATTCGAATTTGAAGGCACCAGATAAACAAAAGCAAACTGAAATTGTCAAGGCAAAGATAAGCAAAACCTTAAACCAGCCTCTATTATAAACAGCTGAGGAATCAAAGCACTGATTACCTACAAAGCCGGCTGAATATTCGAGACGGGTAAGTGAAAGCCAAGAATTGCGAGCTTCGAAAAAGCAACTAAGTTAGCCTGGCAAGAAAGAGGTTAAAGGTCATGGGGCCCCAGTCTAGGTAGGATGTTCTCATTATGTGTTCTCAAAAGCAGACAGCATAGATGAGACACTTACCTTTTTGAATGAGGTCATCCAGGTCTTGGTCAAATCCCTGCCTGTGGCATTTCCTCCAGAGTCCCATGTTGGTGGAGTTGTACTGACGGTTGCACTCGTCCATAGCGCTCAAGGCAAACAGCTGCCTCCGGTTCCTGGCCCGGAGGAGTTTCCCTTCCCAGCGGTCCAATCTAGACCTACTGGCCCTAAGCGGCAAGTTATTGTTGTTGTTGTAAATGAAGCCTGGATCGACCCGACGGGTAGTAAAGGCTTTGCACCTGTCCCGATGCTTTCTGGCGTCTGTCTCGTACCAATGGTCTGAGCAGATCGCCACGGCCAGCATGCCGAGGGCACAGAGAGCTAAGGAGAGGCCAGTGTAGAGCAGTAACCTTCCAGCAGCCATACCTCAGCTTCACAACAACACCATGGGCATGTTTCACAACAACCTAGTTCTTCAGCCCTAGAACAAAGCAGCCAGCTGAGCCCGAGAGATTGCAGCTGAGTGCCCTGCTCAACCGAGTCTCCCCACCTAGACGTCCACGGTTTGAAACAACATACGAAGCACCGAGGCTTCTGGGAGAATCTAAAAAGTTCTAACCCCACGAAAATCTAGGGGGTTAATTGGCATCTCCTGTAGCTTAAAGCATCTAAAGGTGTCAGAAGCGCCCTCCACGTCTCTCAGAAAAGGATTCCCCACTTAAAACAGCGGGGTTGCTCAGCTCAAGACCACCTTTGCGCAGAGTCGACCTTCTTCCTTTCTGCTTCTTTTCTTCCCAGAAGGAAAATAATAAAAGTTCTTTCTGATTAAACTGGAGCTCCTTGACTTTCTTTGTGCAGTGTACCAATGGAATCGATCTACCTCTCTTTATAAGTGTGGTAATTTAAATAGATAAGGGATACTGGGCCACTTTACAATAATCAGGTGAACTGTAGCATCGCTGGTCAGTGCCTAGAAATCTCCCGATTCCAACCGACCAATTGTCCTAGGTTTACAAACCGGCTCTGATCTGTTTTTCCTTTTAGGTAGATCACCTTTCCCTTTTGCAACCAGTGCTTGTGGTCAGGCAATGCAGCGCAGGAAAAGGTTTCTCGCTTCAGTCTCGGGCTAAAAAAATCTGTCTCCTTCAGCAAGAAAGGGACTTCACCTTCCCTCCTATAGGCTTTACTCAGAAGCAGGCTTCATGTAGGTTTTCAGCCCCTGACAACCTTTGTTTCCTAGCTCCTCTGCTTTCTTTCTCTTGCCTTGCCATTCAGGCGACTCGTTTTGTTGTCGGCGCTGTCAACCAGGCAACCTAATTGGACGATTCCTTTCCCTGGATTAGATGAAACTCCGTAGCAGCAGGAGAACGAGGAGAGATCGGCTCTGACTGGGGCTGGAGTCCAGCTGGAGACAGGCTGCAAAGAACTAAGAAGCTGCTTCAGCACCATGGACAGAACGCTCTGCCCAGAGGCACCCAGAGCCCTAGGGAGAAAACCTCCGGCTTCATACCGTTGACATCCTCGCCCTGCTTTGCTTCCCGGATGTAAATCGGTCAGTCGCCTCCCAATCTGATTTTTCAACAGTGCTTTATTTCATCTGGCAACCAAACAGCCTCTGAAACGTGCTTCCCATATGCAAGGAAAATGCAGGTACAAAGGCTGAGGGGGGAAAAACCCCAAAGTAATGTCTTCCACCCCCAACACGCATACATACACACATGCACACACCCTGACACCTCAAAATAAATAAGTCCCTCAAAAAACCAATGCCTGGAGCACTATAGAGGAGGGGGAAAGACACGCAGTCTGCCTAACAGTTGTCAATGGCTCTCATATTGCACCATTTCCCTTACATGCACTAACAGCACTCCCACAAAGGAGCCGAGATGCCAAGATCTCTCTCTGCCTCAACAGCTCCACTCGAATAATATCCCAGCATCAGCAGTTATATTCAGGGTGTTTTTTTTTTCCCTTTGGTGGTCGTTGTGGTGAGGGGGTGGGGGATAGGGAAGGGTGGACTGTTGGTTATTCAATTTCCCCTCCCTTCTTTCAGTAGCGATAGCCTCACTACCTCGCGGGCACCATCAGAGACCTGGAGAAACCGAAGAGAAGCCGACGTCCAGGACTCTCTGGAAATCTCATCTCCCCGTTCTGAACCTTGAAATAAAGGGACGTTTTCTGAGCTCCCGGGTACCTGAGGATGTTTCCTTGTTCAAACGCTGAGAGCTGCAGCCTTGGCTAAAGCCCACAGACGGAGAATACAGAGCACTGAGCCAAAAGCTAGTGATGTCATCCGTGCAACGTGAGACTCATTTCTTATTTTTCTAGCCTCCTTAAAGATAAACTGCACCATTTTACCGGCAGACGATGTCTAAGGCTTACTCTTTGAACAGGCAAGTCAACGGTGTGTATGTATGTATGTGCTTAACCACATACATATTTATGCACAGATACATATGTGTTCTTTGTAATGTGTTTACTGCACATACTGTTATAAATTTAGGAATAGTCCCTGAATCTCATATTCCTATGCTTATAAAAATGGTAAAATCCCTCAGATCGTGCACACAGTTCTTTAAATATATGTATGTGTGTATATATATTTATACATATGTATATATGTGCTTAACGAGGAGCTGATATTCAAAAGGACTTTCAGCTCATATGCAAAACTGGAATTTTTTTTCTTCTAGCCACAGTTCTTCATTGGTGGTATCTCAGTTTGAAGGGGGCTTTTTGTTTTCACAGGAAAAGCCACATACTCTGCCTTCCTGGCTGCAGGCATTTCCATCATTGAGCTGTATGGCTTTCTGGGGGCTTATTAACAGTTAGCCCCATTTCGGCACAAACAGATCATTAGAAATTCCCTACCGCCCAACCCACCTCCACTCCTCTGAATGTGTGTGAGAAAGACAGAGAGAAAGAAATAGACAGATAAACAGAAAGAGACAAAGTGAATTCTGATGTATATAGGATGAGGGATGAAGCATTTAATGGGAATGCTTTTTAGTAGTTACTCTGAAAATATCTGGAGGAAAAAATTGGAAGGAAGGAGGATTAATAAAATATTTGGAGGTGATTTTTTTTATATGTAGGGGGTCAACTGGTCTTAAGATGTGTGCTTATCTATAGAGACCTGTAGAAAATGATGCATGACTAATAAGTGGCCAGCAAAGCCTGACATGAAGGGTGCCCAAGAGGATGGGCACCCATCCTGAACAAATTCATTAAAAGAAGCTGCTTGCATTGTCTCCTCTGAGACCTCACCACAGATGTTGCCAACATCATCTCTGTGTCTTATAGTCTTGGATTTGTTTTGTTTTATTTTTATTCAAAAGCCTTATTTGTTATGTTCATCCCCCACCCTTTAAGGCCAACTCTATGAACATTTCAAGAAAGTGTCAGGTTAATAGACTGCTGCAAGACCAAGGCTGCAGAATAAGAGAAGAGCTTTCTGAGGGATAAGAATGTTCAGTGTTTTGCTTTGCCCTCCAGGGTTTTTGAACCAAAATGAGCGCCTCTCCACCATGTTCTTTTTGTCCTTCCTCTCCCTTCCTCCTTCTTGCATTTTAAAAATAAATGAAATAAGGGTTTCAGTGCCATCTAGTGGCGGAGGGGAGTTTTTCCACTCCCCTTCTCAGGATCCTGAGATAATGTGATTTGCAGAGCGGTGGGCAGTGGCCTGAATTTGCCCCAGCTGTCCTTATGCTATTTGGCTGGAAAAGTAGGTGGGCAGCCTGGTGTCATTTTCCGACTCGGGACCACAAGATCCAGAGGCATAGTGAAGTGATAACATGGGTTATCAGTGTCCAGTCTGTTCCCTTCCTCCTAGTCCCCAAGGATTCTCAGGAAAAAATCATGAATAAGTAAATAATAACAATGCAAATTTCTGAACCAATTTTCTCCCAAGGACCTCAGAACATTTTTCCATGTGTAATCTCATTTATCTACTTAGAATTCTTATATTTGATAGGCAAAAGGAGACACTGAGAGATGACATACACAAGGTTACACAATAAACTAAATACAAGGACTAGAACCCTAGTCTTATCTATTCCCTCTAGACCAGGTAATATATGGAATATATGACACAAATGGCACCTGAGGAAGTCCTTGTGGTAATTTACCAATACCCACTTTTCTCTTTTAACTCCAACTTTCCTTCCTCCTTAACTTATTCACTCCATGTTTTTTTTTCTTCCTTTTTACCTTCTCTTCCTGCCTTGGGCCTCAACCTATTAGCTGTATAGACTTTTGCTGACAGAGATGACCCTTCTCAAAGCCATAAGTGGTATTTTTCCCATAGATCAAGTTGGGAAAGGAGGGCTCACTTTGAAATTGCCAGGACATTAGGAAGTTTCTTTACTGGTACATAAAAATCACTGCTAGTAAAGAGAGGAATTTAGGGAGAGTGAGGATCTGAGGAACATCTGTCAGAGAGAGAAAGCCTATCTTTGGATAGTACGACTCTCATCCTCTAATACATTTCTTAATCTGGGGCAAAATCCCAATGGTCCTTCCCTAGTTATAGATCTGCTCCTGCTGTCAGGATGACTATATTACCTTCATTAAGTGAGTTACTATTCTCTTCCTCCTTATATCAATGGATCTCCATGATCTCAATAAGCTCCCTTGTATCAATAACGTATGTCATGACTCTGCCCACTCACCTCTACTTTTAACCATTTGATTTTTCTATCCTTTCTATTTCCACTGATGCTATACACAATTTCTCATTTCTAATACTCACCACTGGACAAGAAATTCCTAACTAGTCTCTATGTCTCTAGGATCTTCCCCATCTATACCATTGCCAGATTAATTTTTCTGAAAACACTGATTTTATCATGGCTTTCCTTTGCTCAAAAACCTTAAATAACTTTACAATGCTCACTGAATAGAAATCCAAACTCCTTAATGTGACATTCAAGGCCCTCCAAAAAAATCTGGTCCTGGCCAATTTTTCCACACTCATTATATGACTTCAGATTTAGAGCTAGAAGAAGCCTTAGAAGTCATCTTGTCCAACCTTTCCTTTTACCAGGAACCTTCAGGTGAGAGAAGATAAAGAGCTTCATGTCAGGGTCTTTCCCCGACACAAATTTTCTGTAGCCAGGCTGGTCTACTAGCCATGCTTTAACATACATCATTCATGGTCCCATCTTTTCACTCCTGCTTAAATACATTAAAACATATTGCAATGATCATTTCATTCCTTCACTCAAAAAAAAACCGTTAGCAGTTTTGCCTACTGAATAAAATGTAAGCCATTGGTCCTGGCTTTCAAGGCCTCCCACAATATGACTCCAACCTATGTGTCCAACTTTATCTCATATAATTCATTTTCACATGTTCTACATTCTACCACATTGGACTACTCTCCATCCTTAATTCTCATCCTGCTATCTCCCATTTTTATGCCTTTGTTCATATCATTCCCTACAATAACATAAGTATATTATATATTTAGGTATAATAATATATAATAAAGTAAAATGGCATGCTCTGTTTCTTGAAGTCTCTCAACCTTCCCTGGCCCCTTTCTCCCCTTTACTCTTACTCCTAATCTAGGTAAATGTGGACTCTCCCTACTCAAATATTTTTTAGCACTTTGCCTGAACCTTTCTTATGTTCTTATCTTGTTTTCCCTTATACCTTAATTATTTTTGCATATGTCCTCTACTCATTGGACTGTAGACTCCTTCAGACCAGGATTTGCATTATATGTTTCCTTACATCACCAGGGTCTAGCACACTACTTTGTATATAGTAAGGGCTTAATCAATGTTTGTTAAATTGACAGTTTTATTATAGCATTGACAGGAAAGCCACAAAACTATTAAGAACAACAAAAGTTTATTATGATATTTCATTTTCCACGTATCTCAACTTAAAGGAGAGTTCCAATTGAAAACATTCACTCAAAAATAAAGAATCTCTTTTTTAAAAGCAGCTGACACTCAAAATGAAAAATTATCTTCCTTAGAAAGAATTCTGCTTCTCAATACTTTGGTCTGTATTTTTTGACTCATACTTTCTGACTTTTCAAAGGAAAAAATGACTATGATTTCTCCAGTGTCCCTCTATTTCCACTTAATATTTTGTTCACCTGAAAATCTCAAATCCTGTGTGACATTTGTGAGGAAATTTTACCCTCTCTTCATTGGAGTTGTCTGTATTTCCATATAAGTATCACTGACTATCACTGTGTGACCTTGAGCAAGTCCAATCAATAAGCACTATTAAGCTCCTACTATTGTGCTAGTTCTGGGGATACAAAGAAAGACAAAAAAAACAGTCCCTGCCCTCAAAGAGCTCACAATCTGATTGGGGAGACAACATGCAAACAACTATGAACAAAAAAGACACATAAAGAATAAGTTGTTGTTGTTGTTGTTTGTCCTTCTTTCTCAAAGAAGACCATGACATCAGAAAGGTGATGCCATGACTTTCAAATGAATTGGATTTAAGTGAGGCAGACCTGTGCAAGGTCCCCAGGATGCAGTGCCCTGCCCTGGATGCAGTGGAAGACCTTGGCCCTTTTAAGCTAAGGTCTTCAACAGGTCTCAGTTTGACTGAGGCAACACCCATTCAGAATAAGAAATACAGACTTGAATGAAGCCAGGGAAGCCTGGAAGGAAAAATGAAAGAGCATGGTAGGCATAGGACCTATGGGAAAAAGAATGGGGAGAGAGGAATAAGCATTTATATAACTCCTACTATATGCCAGGCACTGTGCTAAGCATTTTACAAACATTATCTCAATTGATTCTTACAACAACCCTATAAGGTAGGTACTATTATTATCCACCATCTTACAGATGAGGAAACTAAAGCAAACCAAAGTTAAGTGACTTGCTCAAGGTCACACTCTGTGTGTGTGTGTGTGTGTGTGTGTGTGTGTGTATGGTTGAACTGAATTTGAATTCAGGTCTTCCTGGTTCCAAGCCCTGTGCTCTGTCCACTGTGGCACCTAGCTGCCTCAGGCCATTTAGACAACCAATGAAAGGCGCAGTCGGGAAATGTAGTATCATATTTGAAGAATATCAAGGAATCCAGTGT